TGGGGGGGCACAGAGGGGTCAGGGGGGCACAGAGGGGTCAGGGGGGGCTCGGAGCCTCTCTCCCACCTCCCATCCCTTTATCCATGCTCTTTCCAGGCCCTCACCAGCAGCGCGTGCTCCCGGACGATGAAGAGCTGCTTCGCCCACTGCCCGAGCCAGCGCTTCCTCCAGAGGAAGCCGCAGAGCTGAGCCTCGGGGCGCCCGGGGGGCTCGGCCTCGGCGCTGGTGGCCGATGGCCAGCGCAGGTAATGGGCTCGGTCCGTCACCCCCTCTTCCTCCTCCTCCTCCTCCTCTCCGTACGACTCGTAATGGCTGCTGTCGCTGTCGCCACCGCCTGGGAGCCGGGATGGGGTCAGGGAGTTGGGCGGGGGGAGCTCGGGGGAGCTGGGGAGGGGGCGTGGGGAGACCTCACCGGTTCTGCCCTGCCCGGGGGGATCGGCGTCTTCGTAGGAGTCGTCGGCTGGGGGAGACGGGGGGACAGCCGGCGCCTTGTTCTGGGGGTGCAAAGGGTGCTCCAAACCTCGCAGGGTCCCCAGGTCACTACCGGGGGGCTCTGCCAGGAGCGGGTGGGCACCAAAAAAACTCCCTTGGACGCCCCCCCCCGCCCCCGAGAGCAAGACTGGCCACCGGTGCCATCCCTGGCATGTCCAGGCCCCTCTCCCACCCCCTGAGCCCCCCGGGCCCCGCCGCCCCCTCTCACCGCTCGGGGCGGGCTCGGGGCGCTGCCCGGGCGGCGCTCGCAGCCTCCCCCCGCATCCACCGTCCGGGATCCTGCGGAGAAAAGCAGGACCGGCAGCGCCGGGGTGCTGAGGGCTCGGGGACCCCCCAAACCAGGCGTGGAGGAGGAGATGGGGGGTGGGTGGGAGCGTGGGACTCACCCGGGCTGGTCTGGCCCTGCGGGGTCCCCGGGGAGGGCGAGAGGCAGCGCATGATCATGTACTCTGCATCCTCTGCTGCGGGGGCAGCGCGGGGTCACGGCCCCTCTCCCCGAGCCTCCCCCGCAGCCCACCGGGCACCGGCCGGGGGTCTCCCCCCGCCCCCAGACCCGCACTCACACGCCGGGCTCTGCAGCCGGGACAGGAGGTCGGACACGGACTTTTTCTTGGCCCGAGCTGCGGCGCTGAGGCTTTCGCGGTCCAGGATGAGCAGGAAGGAGCGCAGGTCCGACAGCAGCTTGTCCAGGTCTGCGGGGACAGCCACGTGCCAGCGCAGCCTCCAGAGGACGGGGTGCCAGGGGTCCCCATCCCTAACCCCGAACTGGGCAGGGCTGGGTGGGCCCCGCTGCCATGGGGGTGTCCCTGATCCCATGGGGGTGTCCCTGATCCCATGGGGGTGTCTCCAGTTGTATGGGGGTGTCCCCAGTGCCATGGGGGTGTCTCCAATCCCATGGGGGTGTCCCCGGTGCCATGGGGGGTCTTCAGTGCCATGGGGGTGTCCCCGATCCCATGGGGGTGTCCCCGGTGCCATTGGGGTGTCCCCGATCCCATGGGGTGTCCCCGGTTCTATGGGGTGTCCCTGGTGCCATTGGGGGTGTCTCCAGTGCCATGGGGTGTCTCTGATCCTATGGAGGGTGTCCCCGATCCCATGGGGGTGTCTCCGATGCCATGGGGGTGTCCCTGATGCCATGGGGTGTCCCTGATCCCATTGAGGTGTCCCCAGTTTCACAGCGGGTACGTGCCCGGTCTCACCGGCCCTGCCCCGCTCCAGCACCTGCCCCGGCCGGGCACAATCCGGCCATTGACGGGCTCGGGGGGACCGGGGGAGGATGAGGAGAGGGGTCTGGGGGGATGAAGGCCCCTCTGTGCGCACTCACAGTGCCGGTTTGTTCGCGGTTGGGCCGGGGCAGCCACGGCCGGGGCTGCTGCTCCTCCACGTGCGGAGGAGGAGGAGGATGAGGAGGAGGAAGAGGAGCCCTGGCAGCCCGGAGCAGCTGATGAAGGCTGAAACGCCGGGTGTTCACCCACCGCCCCCTCGAGGGCAGGGACAGGGGTCGGGAAGGACAGGGAGGGACAAGGAGCCTCTCTGAGCTCAGCGGGGACAACGGGAGAGCCGGGACAGCACCGCCGCCACCCCCGAGAGACTCCGGGCACGGGGAGAGCCTCCCCCTGTCCCCTGTGGGGGCGGTTTGGGGTCCACGCGGGTGCTGCAGAGCCGGGCCAGGAACAGCTTCAGTGTGTCCCCTGTCCCCGCCCTGGGCACCTCCAGCTGCCCCCGCAGGAGCGGGCGGATGTCCCCCAGAGCCCCGGGGTCCCTGCCCGGCTCCCCCCGGGCTCCTTCCTGCCGCACATCTGGAATTGCTTTGCCAGGCCCCGCTCCCGGCTCTGCTCGCTGCTCCCAGCTGGGATCGAACATTCCAGACCCGCTGAGGGGACCCAGCACCTCCTGGCCCGGGTCTGACTGTGCCAGCTGTCCCCAGCCCGTCCTGAGTATCCCTCGAGTGTCCCCCTGCCATTTCCCGGCTGGGGGGGACAGTCCCGGTGAAGCCGCCTCCAGCCGGGCCGCTCCTTCTGCAATGGCCCAGGTGACCGCGACCCTCCTCATCCTCCTCATCCTCCTCATCCTCCTCATCCTCCTCATCCTCCTCATCCCCGAATCCCGCATTTCTCTGGCTTAGCGGAGATGCGGCGCACCCCAAAAAGGAGGTGGCACCCCCTGGGCGAGGCGAGGGCAGGCGGGGGAAGGAGCCCCAGCTGCCAGGGGTTGGGGGTGAAGCCCCCCTCTCCCGGAGGTGCTGGCACGGGGGGACCCCCGTCCCCTCCGCGGTGTCCCCGGCCGGGGAGCACACACCCTGTCCGGGGGAGAGGAAACATCTGGCAGCGCGGTCCGGCTGAGCAACGCCGGAGCTGGGCCCAAACATCTGGATTTCCCTGGAAACCGGGGAAGGGAAGGGGGGGAACATCTCCGTGCGAGAAAAGCGGGGTGGGGCTGGGGCAGGGGCTGGCTGAAGGGACCTGCGGGCGGTGTGGGGCACACGGGGACTGTCCCCCGCTGGCCAGTGGGGCCTGGCTCTTCCCCTCCCTCCCTTTCTCCTCTCCTCCGCCCAGGCCGAATTCCTCGGCAATGACATCTCCGTCCAGTCACCCTTTTGCCCTCTCCGCAGCCCCCCCGTGCTCCCCCCGGCCGCGGTGCCCTCTCTGGGGCAGCGATCAGTGTCCAGCCGTGCCCAGCCGTGCCCGCAGCCGGTGCGGGGCGGGCAGGGGCTGCCCTTAGCCGTGGCGCGGTGCCCGCTGCCCTCTGCGGTGCCAAGGGAGAGCGGCCGCGATGGAAAACATCTGCTTCGGTCTCCAGGAAAACGCCCCCCAAACACACACAGAGCGTCTCTTAGCACAGCTCCCCCCCGCTCCCGAGGGACGTGTCCCAGCACGGCGGCATCCTCATCCTCGTGCCATCCTCGGGGGACGAGGAGGAGGAGGAGGAGGAGGAAGGACGCTTCCCCGGAGATGCCATGGGAACGCGCAATGCCCGGGTGATGCCAGCGCGGGCCGCGATTCGGGCTCCACGCCGGGTTTTCCCCGTGGCGTGAGGTGTCCGAGGGCTGCGGGGGTGTGGAGGTGACCCGGGGGACCCCGGGGGTGGCTCTGGCCCAGCGTGGGATGACTCAGAGGAGGCTGCGGGGAGCTGCCCGCGGCCACAGCGTGACTCGTCATGTGCGGAGGCTCCAGGCCGCGGCTGCAGGGTGGGGACGCTCCCCCCACGACTGCTGCACCCCCAAATTGCCGCTGGGAGGGCGCTGTGTCCCCCCCACCCCACCATGGCACCCCAATATCGGGGAGGGGGGGACACCGCGTCCCTCCTTGTCCCCTCACTTTCATCCCTTCCCCTGCAGCCCCCCGCACCTCCCAGCACCCCTTTCCCACCCTCTCCTCTTTTCCCGAACCCCCTTTTCCCTTTCACGCCCCCACGGGCACCCCAAACCCAGCCGCACCCCCGTGGACACCCCCGCGCAGCCTCCTCCCCCCCCACGGAACCCTCTTTTCCCCCTTTTCTGTTTGTCCCCCGCGAGCCTCGCATCCCTTCGGAGCCGCCGTACCTCGCTGCCGGGACATGGTGCGGGAGCGCTCACATCGCGCCGGGATCGGGATCGGGATGGGGGTCGGAATCGGGGTCGGGATCGGGATCGGGATGAGGATGGGGATCGGGATCGGGATCGGGATCGGGATCGGGTCCGGGTCCGGGTCCGGGTCCGGGTCCGGGTCCGGGTCCGGGTCCGAGTCCGGGATCGGAATCGGGGCAGCGCTGTCCCGGCCCGGCTCGGTTCGCACACGCCCTGCGGGCCCCCAGCACAGCCCGGCCGGGGCGGGAGGAAGGCGGGGAAGGGCTCCGCATCCTCCTCGGAGCAGCACCGCCATCTGCAGGGACCCGGGCTCGGGGACAAGCCCGGGGGAGTTTCTGGAGGAGGGGGAGGAAGCAAAGCTGCGGAGCCGGGCTGGATAAAGCCATTTCACCTTTAATTGTAAGCAAAAAATCACTCTCACGCGGGTTCTCCGACACCAGCAAATAAAATAAACTCTAACAAAAACAGAGAAAGTGAATCACTGTATTCCAGTCCAAAACAACCCATATTTATAGATATATTTATAGATATGTCGTTTGTAGCAGTGAAAGGCAAGTATGGGCCAGTGAATTCCAGATAAATTACATTCTTTACATCCCAACAAGGTCTAGCGGCTGGAAAGTGGCTGGAAACAAAACCCGGGGAGCGTGGAGGGGCCGGGGGGTGCGGGGAGAGAGGAGGGGTCCTGCCCAAATCGTGTGCCCGGAGAGGGGAGAGGGGGAGAAGGGAAAGTGCGGCCCGGTGCTGAGCCCTGTCCGGGAGGGGAGAGGACAGGGACAGTGTCCAGCCCCGTGAGGGGACAGGGACAGTGTCCAGCCCCGGGAGGGGACAGGGATAGTGCCCAGCCCTTGGAGTGGACAGGGACAGTGCCCAGCCCTTGGAGGGGACAAGGACAGTGCTCAGCCCTGGGAGGGGACAGGGACAGTGCTCAGCCCCGGGAGGGGACAGTGCTCAGCCCCGGGACAGGGACAGTGCTCAGCCCCGGGAGGGGACAGGGACAGTGCCCAGGCCCCAGTGAGTGGCCGCCGTGCCCACAGAGCCGTACACTGTTCCAAATCCATCGCCCCAGTTCATCATCCCAATTCATCATCCCAGTTCAGTGCCCTCCTGTACCCCCACATCATCACCCCAAGCGCCCCCCTGCACCCCTCAGTGCATCCCCCCGCATCCGCAGCTGGAAACACACCAGGAGCTGCCCCAGGGATCCCCCACCCCAACCCTGCCACCCCCTGCCCGGCCCCAGGGTGCTCCCCCTGCCCCTCTGCCCAGCCCGGGGCCGGTGGGGTTGGCAGTGTCCTTGGGCTCCTCGCTGCAGCACCTGGCACAGGAGGGAGCGGGGCTGAGGGTGGGGACAAACCTGGGGGGCTGCAGGGGGTTAGGGTGGGATTTGGCTCTGGCAGTGTCGGCCCCCAGGCTCTTCCCAAGCCTCAGGGTGGGGGACAGGGGCAGCTTGGGGGGCACAGGAGCGCCCCGGGGTGGGGGGCTGGGGGCAGCGGACCCCCAGGGAGGAGGGAACCCCCCGGTGCCCCCCCAGTGGAGCCAGGCACATTCCAGGGGGAAAAGAGGGGGGCACAAAGCCCAAAGACCCCCCCAAACCTCCCGTCCTGGCTGAACCGTGCCTGCTGCTGGCCGGGGGCTGCCCCAGCCCCGTCACCCCACGGCCAGGCAGGCTCGAGCCCCCCAGCCCCGCTCCCTGCAGGAGGAACGAGCCGGGGGGCAGATCTGGGGGGCAGATCTGGGGGGCTGGGGGCGCGGGGAAATGGGGGGAGACCCCAATAAAAACCGGCTGAGAGCCCTAAAGCGGTTACACGGCGCGACACGGACTGAGCTGGGGCCGAGGAGGGCTCAGAAGAGGAAGGCTTTCTTCTTCAGCTCGTTGCGCTTCCACAGGGCCAGCTTGCTGAACTCCTCCGGAGACATCTCGAACACCTTCAGGAAGTCCTCGGGGGACAGGTGTCGCTGTAGGGAGGGGACAGAGGGCGGTGACAGAGTGCACGGAGCCCCCCCGGAGCCCCCCGAGCTTCACACAGCCCCCACCTCCAGCCTGGTCCTGTCCACGCCGGGCGGGAGCTTCACTCGGCCTCGGTTCGTCACCATCAGCATCTCATAGGGGTAGATCTGGGAAAGGCGAGGGGGCACGGGGCTGTGAGATCCCCCCAGACCCCATCAAAGCCCCCCCGGTCCCTCGCGAACCTCAGCAAGGCCGCGTGAGCCCCCCAGCCCCGCTCACCTTCTGCTCCAACATGCTGGGCAGGGAGTTCCCTCTGTCCATGCGCCCGCGCTGGCCGTTCTGGGGGGACAAAGCCTGGGCTCAGCCCGACCCCCCCAAAGGGAGGATTCCCCCCTCGGTGAGGGGCTCCAGACCCCCCCTCCCAGCCCCAGGGACGGTGCCAGGGCTGGCCCCGGTGCCCGTGTCCCCCTCCCCCGTACGTCACCCTCTCGCTGGGTCGCGGCGTCCGCAGCCAGGTGAGCTCTTACCTGCAGGGCTGGGCAAGGAGAGGAGCGAGGCTCAGCCTGGGGACCCCGCTGTGCTCCCCCTCCCCAAATTCCTGCCAGGCCCGGGCTCGTCCCACCCCTCCCAGTCCCAGGAAACTCCCAGGACACCCCCACATCTTCCAGAACACCCTCAAATTCCTGGGGACATCCCCTGGGACACCTCCACATCCCCAGGGCATCCCCACATCCTTCCAGGACACCCCCACGCTCCCAGGGACACCCCCACATTCCCGGGATCACCCCCACATTCCCGGGGACACCCCCACAGTCCCGAGGACACCCCACATTCCCGGGATCACCCCCACATTCCCAGCGACACCCCCACATTCCCGGGAAACACCTCCACATCCCCCAAAACACTCCCAGATCTCTGCAGGACATTCCAGAATCCCCAGGACCCTCCCACATCACCCGGGACACCCCCACATTCCCGGGACCCCCCCACATTCCCGGGATCCCCCCATTCCATGCCCTGAGCCGCACCAGGACTGCCCTTCTCGCTCCCTGCCGAGCCAAACTCCGCCGACTGCAGCTGCGGGGGGACAGGGACGGGGTCACAGGGGTGACCCCAAACCCCGGGGCGGGATCACAGAGGTGACCCCGGCAGGGTGGGGAGACAGGACAGGGTCACAGGGGTGACCCCAAACCCCGGGGCGGGGTGGGGGTGACCCCGGTAGGGTGGGGGGACAGCTGGCACCCACTTACCCGGGTGAGGGTGCTCCGGCCGGAGGCGGGGAGGGAGGAGCTCTTGGAGCTCGTGTGCAGGGCTGGGAGAGAGGCAGAGACCGTCAGGGACCGACAGGGACCTTTGGGGTCCTTTTGGGACCTTTGGGGTCTTTTAGGGACCTTTGGAGTCTTTTAGGGACCTTTGGGGACTTTTAGGGACCTCTGGAGATGGGTAGGGATGGGCAGGGATGGACTGGGATGATCTGGGACCATCAGGGATGGACTGGGACCTTTAGACAGGGGTGCAGGCAGGATTTAGGAGGTGCAGGTGGGAATTGGGAGGTACAGATGGAACTTGGGAGGTGCAGGCAGGATTTGGGAGGTGCAGGTGGGATTTGAGAGGTGCAGGTGGGATTTGGGATGTGCAGGTGGGATTTGGGAGGCACAGGCTGGATTTGGGGAAGTTCAGGCAGGATTTGGGAGGTGCAGGTAGGATTTGGGAGGCACAGATGGAATTTGGGAGGTGCAGGCGGGATTTGGGGGACAGAGGGGCGTACAGGCAGCCAGAGGTGAGGAAGGACAGGGCCGGCATTCCGGGAGAACCGTCCCACTCACATGTGTGAAAAGGTGTCCGGTCCGGCAGTGAGCGAGTTTTCCTGCGGATCGGGAGAGACTTCTCCATCTCCTCCTTCAGGATCAGCTTCCCGAGGTTGGAGGTGACCTTGGGGATGAGGGGACACAGGTTGGGATCGGTGCCAGCGCCTCCCCAGCCCCTCCCGAGCTGCCGCCCTGCCCCAACCTTGCTCAGCTCCTGCCGCTGGAGCTCCCGCAGGTTCTTCATCTCCTCCGTCAGATCCTCATCCTCCTCCTCGCCTCTCTTGGACGCCATCCGCCTCCTCCACTCCGTCTCTGCGGGAAAAATGGGAACATTCCCGCCATTGCCAGCCTTCCCTGGAGCGTCCAGGAGGGAAAAGCCGCAGTTCCCACCTACCCACGACGGCCAGTGAGGGTGGGCAGGGCCAGTAGTCGGTCTCGATCTTGGCGGGCTGGTTGGGATCCGGGGGCTGCGCCGCCGGGAATTTGGAGGATTCGATGATCAAATCCTCTATGAGGTGCTTGCCGTGGTGGGCACTGGAATGGTGGTCTGGGGGGCACGGGGGGGTGAGACAGAATCCCGGGATAACCCATCCCATGGGATAGACCCCCCCTTCAGACTCACCTTTCTGCCGGTAGATCGGGGGCTTCTTGTAAATGTTGAGCTCTGTCGTGTCGGTCTCTGGAGATAAAAACAGGTTTGGGGTTGGGAATGGGAGTTTGTGGGATTGGGAATGGGAGCTCATGGGGCTGGGAATTGGAGCTTGTTGGATTGGGAATAGAAGTTTGTGGGGCTGGAAGCTCGTGGGGTTGGGATTGGGAATTTGTGTGGTTGGGAATGGGAGTTTGTGGGGTTGGGAATGGGAGTTTGTGGGATTGGGGCTGGGAGCTCGTGGGGTTAGGAATGGGAGTTTGTGGGGTTGGGAATGGGAGTTTGTGGGGTTGGGAATGGGAGTTTGTGGGGTTGGGAATGGGAGTTTGTGGGGTTGGGAATGGGAGTTTGTGGGATTGGGAAGAGGCTCCAGGACACCCTGGGGGGCTCGGGCAGCTCTGGGGGTCCTGCTTTGGGGCCGGGGGGCCATTACCGGGTCGGTGGAAGTGCTGGACGCTGCTGCGGGTCGGGGCAGTGCCCTGGCGCGAGGGGGGCAGCGGGGTGCTGCTGGGGGGGCGGCTCTCCAGCCACTCCCGGATAACCTGCGGGAAAACGGGATCGGGGATCAGCAAGACCCCTCCCCAATTCAGCATCGCCCCCTCCTCCCCCAGCCCGGTACTCACCTCTGGAGACGGAGGAGGAGACATGGATTTGGGAGACAGGGAGCGCTGCAGAAGGCAAGGATTTAATTAATGTTAATATTTTCAAAACGAATTTTAACCATTTTAATAACCTTCATGAGCTGTGCTATGAATTAGCACGAATTTTAATGAATTTTAGGTATTTTTATGCTGGTATTTTTTTCCCAGCAGCCCCAGCTCTGTGATCCTTCTATCCAGGTGGGATTCTCCCAAAAAAAACCAGGGAATGTCCCCTCACCTCCCGGCTCCGGGGCAGCTCCACGTGCTCCATGAGCGAGTAGGTGAAATGAGGTTCGTAGATCATCAGGTCGGGGCGTTCGATGTCCAGGATCGCTTTGTCCTTGGGGATGGCAGCCAGGTCCTTGTAGCCCAGGACCTCGTTGTCCATTTTGGCCTGGGAGGAAGGGAAAACGCCCTCAGCTGGGGCCAGAAGGGGATTTTTGGGAATGGGGAGTGACAGAGGGGTGGAGAGGGGCACGTCCCGACCCCGGGGATTGAGGGATGCGGTGGGAAGGTGGGAATGGATTGTTACCACGATGCTGGAGGGAGATCCGGGAACGCTGGATCCGCGGGAAGAACAGACGCTCCCAGGGGAGGTCAGTGGCTGCTGGACGGAAAAAGGGAGATTTTAGCCCAGGAAGAGACTCGGGGCATGGCAGGGGGGCAGAGGACACCCCTATGGATCCCAGCTTCCCCGGGCGGGCGGGGCACAGCCGGGAGGTGACAGCGGCTTGGCCAGGACACGCTGCCACTAGATGGTGCTGCCAGGCCGGGCTGGAGGAGGAGGAGGAGGAGGAGGAGGAGGAAGGCAGGGTCCTGCTGACAGCAGCCCATGCCTGCCCCAGCCCTTGGCCACCAGCCCCGTGTGCCCTCCCTGCAGGGCTCCCCATCGTCCCGCACCCTGCCAGGACCCCAGCACCTCCAGCGCTTTCCCTGGACCCCCAACAATCCCCCCCGGACCCCAAACACCCTCCCGAACCCCCAGCACATTCCCGGACCCCCAATACCCTGTTCTATACTCCCAGAACTTTTCCCGGACCCCCAGCACCCTTCCCTGGAGCTCCAGACCCTTCTCTGGACCTTCAGCACCCTGTTCTGTATCCCAGCACCCTTTCCTGGACCCCCAGAAACTTGTTCGGTACCCCAACACCTTTCCCGAACCCCCAACATCTTTCCCGAACCCCCAACACCCTCCCTGCACCCCCAGCACCCTCCTCGGACCCCAAACACCCTCCCTGGACCCCCAACACCTTTTCGGGACCCCCAGCACCCTCTCCAGACCCTCAGCACCCTCCCGGACCCCCAATATCCTCCCCGGACCCCCCAACACCTTTTCGGGACCCCCCAGCCCCCTCCCCCAGCCCTCCTTTACCTTCTGCAGTCTTTCCATTCAGCTGCGCCTGGCGGGGCTGTGTCAGTCACAGGGTCCTGCGGGCACAGCGGGCTTTGGGCACCGTCAGGGTGGGCACAGAGCCCCCCCCGGGCTCGGGGTCCCCTCTCCCACCGCCCTCCCGGCACGGAGCCCCGAAACCCCCCCCACTCCGGGCACTGAGGTAGCGCGAGGCTCGCACGTCCCCGCTGCCCAATATCGAGGTGCCACTGTCCCCCCTCCCCGGGCAGGGCACGGGCGGGGATCCCCCGCTCACCTCTGTGCCTCCACATCCCCCTGGGCTCCGCCACCGCGCTGGGGCTCCGATCTTCCCTCTGCAAGGACAGCACAGAGGGGACTGGTGAAGCCACCGCTTGTCCCCACGCTGTCCCCGCGGTCCCCCGTGCCCGCTGCCGCTGCCCGGGGGCTGCTGACGGTGCTGGCGAGCGGAGCGGCGGCGCTGACGCCCTTTTGTCCCGCGGCCTCGAGAAGGCTCCAGCGGCAGCGGGACGGGCTCGGCCCCCCACAGCCCCCGGGCCTGGCTGCGCTCTCAACCCACAAAGCCGCACACAAAGGGGAAAATTCCCCATTCTCCTCCAAACTTCTCCTTTCAGGAGGGAAAAGCTCGTGGTGGTGCCGGCGCGGGGAGCCCCGAGCCCGCAGGGGGTGAAGGGGTGCCAGCGCCTCTGGGGACACCGACCCCGCTGTCCCCCAGCCCCGCGGCTCCCAAGAGCACAGAACTCGCTCCCGTGGGACGCAGAGATGGAGCAGGAGCGGGTCGGAGAAATCCGGGAGCATCCTGGAGCAGAGAGCTCCGTGTCCCCTCCCTTGAGCCCCCCCGGCCACAAAGGACCCCCAGATTTGTCACCGGGACGGGGTTTAACGCTCTGAGCCCCACCGCCAGCACCTCCCCGCCCTCCCGGCGGGCGCACGGCTGGGACGGGCTCGGCACAAGGGTGACATTGTCCGGGAGGGCACAGCCCTGAGCTCACACTTTCCAGGGCCGGAGCCAGCCTTGCCCCGCGCCTCGGGACCCCGGCGGGGACGCGGTGACAGCGAGCAGATGGATGCGATGGCGGAGAACGGCAGCGGCGGGAGGGTGGGTGCGGGGCCGGCCGGGAAGGAAAACAAACCCGAGCCGGGGGTGCGGAGAGACGCCACAAAACCGGCGAGAGCTGCACAAGCAGCTCGGTCACGGTCCCCCCCCCCGCCCCTCCCCGAGCTCTGGGGACGCGGGGACAGCTTATCAGGCTCAGGCAGAGAGCCACCGCCCCGATGGCAGCCGCGTTCCCCATGGCAACCTCCAATCTCCCCGCGGCTCCGCGGCCAGGTCCCCGCGTGGGCCCAGATAAGGGCGGCTCGGCGTGTTTGGGATTTTCCTGGCCGGGAGGGCGAGGGGGAGCGGGGACAGGAGCGCGGAAAGCAGCGGGTCCCACTCTCGGGGCGATGCTGAGGGGGACCCAGGGCGCGGGGAAGGAAAAGAGCCGGGCAGGAAGCGTGGGAAGAGGGAGAGAGATGGAGGATGGATGATGTTTGGATGGTTGGACGGATGGATGGATGGATGGATGGATGGATGGATGGATGGATGGATGGATGGATGGACAGGACACGTGCGGGGCTCACCGGGATTCAGGGGTGCCGGTGCCCCCCCGTGCCGGTGGGGCCAGGAAGAGGCCGGTTCCCTCCTCCCCACCCCGAGGAAATCCGGATTTGACTTTTCGCAGCCGCCAAAGCCATCAGTGCCCGGCCCCGGGCCAGGGGCCAGGCCGTGAGAACCCCCCCGGCACCGCCCGGGGGGGAGCGGGAGGGGACCCCCAGCCTTCCTCCCATCGCTGTCCTCCTCAGCCTCCCTTCCCTGCCCGAATTGTGGCGCGGCTGGCGCGGCTCGCAGCCAGCAGTGAAAGGCGGGGGGACACCCGGGGTCACAAGTTCCCCGAACAGAAGGTTCCCGCCAGCCCTGGGAACGGTGTCCGGTGTTCCCAGCCCAGCCCCGGCCTCCTCCTCCTCCTCCTCCTCCTCCTCCTCCTGCTCCTCCTCCTCCCACCACAAGCTCCAAACAAACAGCGCAGGCCAGGCCCGGAGCATCCTCCCCGCTCACCGGGGAAACCGAGGCACCGCCACACGCGGGGCCCCACCGGCAACTTGATCGCGACAGCGACAGCCCCGGGGAGCACGCGGGTCCCCGAGCCGCGGCTCGCCGGTGTCCGGTTCCTCCTTTGTCCTGTTTGTTCCGCTCCCCGGGGCTATTGACTGCCCATCGCTTCCGAGCCGCCGCGTCCTGCCCGGGGACCTCGGTGGCCTTAAAAGCCACCAGCTGCCAGCCCCGGGCGTTTTTCCACGGCTGCGATGGACGGTGCATCCTGCCGAGGGCGCAGGGATGCTCCGTGCCTCAGTTTCCCGGGATGGGAGGTGGATGGGGAGTGGGGGGAGTAGGAACAATCCGCCCACCGCATCGCGGAGCGGATGGAGGTGAAGGAGGCATTTCCACCTCCCCGGTTCCTCCCATCCGTGGAATCTGGGCCAACGCAGCTACCCCCAGCCCTGCCAGGAGGCTCCGAGCCCCTCAGGTTTACTGGGGGGAGACGTGGCCTGAACCCCAAAACTCGGGGGGATTGTGGGGGGTCTTTTCCCGGCCCCCCTGCCCCGATAGCCACCCCGCAGCCCGCTCTGGGCCGCGCCTCACGTGGCTCCTAATCTGGGATTAAAGCGGGATTAGCCTGCTCATCCCGCACGCGGAGGGACCCGCTGGGGATGTGTGAGGAGGCCGCGCCCCCCGGGGCTCCCGCTGGGGGTTTGGGGGTGTCCCCGCGCCCCCCAGATCCCCCCGGTTCTGCCAGCCCTGGGATCAGCCCCCACGGCGTTGGGTACCCCGGGGTGGGGGGACCCGGGCACCCCAATTCCGCTCATGGGGCCAGCGCAGCGAGGCTCGCACCCCACAGGACACCCGGGACTGGCCGGGGGGTCCCGAGGGGGCGGGGGCTGGCCCAGGTTTGCCTGGGAGAGGTTGGAATTGGCCCAGCCTGGCCACCCACCCTGCACGGCCACAGCCCGGAGCTGAACCCCCCCGGAGACGGCTCCATCCACGGCCAAGAGATGGGGGGGACGCGCTTTGCGCCCCATATTCTCCCTCTAAATCAGCCCCCGATGCTCCATGGCGGTGGGGGAATGGGAATTTGGCCCCTCAGGGCTTTGCCAGGGGGGTTGGGGTGCTCCAAAATTCCGTGTCCGCGGCAAAACCGCGACCGCCACAGCCAGGGAGCATCAAACCCTTCACGGAGGGGGAGGATTTGGGGGGCGCCCCCCCCAGCAACAGCGGTGAGACCCCACAAATTCACTCCGCAGGTGCGGCTGGGAAGGGCTGGGCCGTCCCAGCCTCCTCCCTTGGGATCCGCGAATCCAAATCCAAATCCAGCGTCCCCAAGGAAGGGGGACAGGGGTGTCCCGGGCTGGGGGGCGCTGGGAGCGCTGCGGTGCCGCGGGGGGAGCTCGGGGAGGGCTCAGCGCTGGAGCCGCTGTCCCCGCGTCCCCCTCCTCGGGTCCCCGCCCTTCCCATCCCCGCGGCCCCCCAACAACGGCAGCAGCGCCGGACAAGGGGGGGGGACAAAATGTGGGGCACCCCCGAGCCCCTCCCAGCTCCCCCTGCCAGCGGCTGCACCGAAAAGCGACGGGAAAAGGAAAAGCGGTCCGCCGCGAACCGGCCCTCCCGCTCCTCCCCGGCGGCCTGTGCCCCCCAGCCGTGTCCTGTCCCCAGCCGTGTCCCCAGCCGTGTCCCCAGCCGAGCCCCGCGGCCGCGCACTCACCTAAGGCCGGGGGCAGCGCATCCCTGCGGCCGCGGGGGGCTGCGGGGGGCTGCCCTGCGCTTGCTCCGCTCGCCCGGCCACCGACTCGCGCCTGGGCTCCCGGGGCTGCTGCGGCTGCGGCGCATCCGAGAGCGTGACAGGGGGGCGCGGGCGGGCGAGCGGGCGGGCGAGAGGGCGAGCGAGCCTCTATCTGCCCCCGCCAGCCCCGATAACCGCGGCTGGGCGGGCGGGCGGGCGTGCGGGGGAGGCTGCGTGGAGCGCTGGGTGGGAGGGTGGAGGAGTGCGTGGCTGCCCGGGGGGGGGGTGGTGGCCGCGTGGGTGCCTCTCCCCAGCTCGCTGCTGCCTCGGTCCCTTTCCCAACAAGAGGAGAATTAGCCGGCATCATGACGAAGCAGTATTGGCTGCCGCTCCTCTCGCTTCCCCGGCACAAAGAGGGAGGAAAACGGGAATAACCCGGCCTGAGCCGCTGCCAGGGACAGCCCGGACCCCCAGCACACCCCCAGCCCCCGCCGGGCATCGGGCGCGGCAGCCCCCGCTCCCCCCCGCAGCTCCTCGGAGGGGTTTTGGCAGCTCCCAGCCCCTCTCGGGGTGGGGGCTGAGCACTTCAGGGGGCTGCGACAGAGAGCGGGGGGCACCTCCCGCACAACCCGACCCCCAGGCTGGGTCTGGGGGCACCGCACCCACCCCTCGCTGCCCTGGGAGGGGAAATCCAGCGGGAATTTCCATCCGCGGGACCAGCGCAGCCCAGGGAAGGCTGGGAGGGGCTGGAAATCTGTCAAAATGGAGCACTGGGCTCTGGCGGGGAGAGCTGATTCCCCCCGCACGCCAAGCCCCCCACGCCCTGGGGGTCGCGGTCCAGCCCCGGGCTGGGGGAAGGGCTGGGCAGGGCAGGGAGGCTGCGGCACCTCCATCCCTCCGGAGCCGCTCGGAACGGGATCCCGCATCCCGGCACGGCAGCGGAGCCGCGGCCGGACCCCGCCGGGGGCGGCGGGGCTGCGTTGGTGCCGCAGAGCCGGGATCCAGAGTCTATTCCCGGCTCTGTGTGGGAGCGCTGCCTGGTGACAGCAGCTCCCTTCCCGGGGCTCCTCCTCGCTGCTCCTGCTCCTTGCTGCCTCTGTTTCCCCGCACCCGGCTCAGGAAAGGGCTGCTGTACCCCTCTAGGTGCACATCTGGGGCGGGTGCGCGCTCAGGAGCGCACATCTGGAGGGGCACGGACACGCGGGGGGAAGGCAGCGTCCAGGGATGGGCAGGCGGGCCGCACATCTGGGCAGGAGCACACCCAGGGCCGCACATCTGGGGGGGCTACAGGCCCAGAGGTGAGCACCTGGCGGGGATCCACCCCCAGGGGATTCACACTCGTGTTCCTTGACGCCAGGGCCAGCCCGGCTCGCTGGAGCATCCCGGCCTGGGCTCCGCCGCGCCGAGGGGGCTCCGCCGGCCCAGCCGCCCCCCGGGGCCGTGCCCGTGAATAATCGAGGCTGCGGCCGCCTCTAACCCAGTTTCTCAAGCATGAAGACGATCGCAGCGGCTGCTCGGCGGCTGCCACCTGCGCCCGGGGCCGCTCGGGTGCCTGACCCGGCGGTGGCACCCACCGAGGCTCGGCCTCCCGACCCAGAGCGCCGCGGTGCCCGCGGGGACGGCGGGAGGAGTTTGGGGACGCCCCGATCCGGCTCCAACCCGCTCATGCACGCACTCAAAGCCAAGCCCGGCCACGCTCGCCAGAGCCCCGGCCACCCCTTGTCAAAGCCGGAGCCCCGAGGGGGTGCTGGGGGGCGCGGGGTGTGGGGCAGGGGGATCGGGCCCTACCTTCAGGGGAGCCCATGGCCCGCCGCGGGCAGCGCTGCGTGTCCGCCGGGAGCCATCCCCGAGCCCAGCATCCCCTCCCCTGCGCCGCACGCACGTTGCCACAGCGACCGCCTCCCGCCGCAGGCGCCCGGGATGGAGCGCGGAGGGTGGGCAGGAGCAGCCCCCGGGATCGGAGAGGGATGGAGGGAGGGCAGGAGCAGCCCCCGGGATCGGAGAGGGATGGAGGGTGGGCAGGAGAATCGGGGTTTGGGAAGGGATGGAGGATGTGCAGGAGAATCGGGATTTGGGGAGGGATGGAGAAAGTGCAGGACAATCAGGGTTTGGGGAGTGATGGAGGGGGGGCAGGAGCATCCTCTGGATTTACTGAGGGATGGAGGAAGTGCAGGACAATCTGGATTTAGGGAAGGATGGATGAAGTGCAGGAGCATCCTCTGGATTCACTGAGGGATGGAGGAAGTGCAGGAGCACCCCTCGGTCTCCCCACCCTGTGGGATGGGTCCAAGGAGCATTCCCGCAGTCCCAGGGGGCACAACCCCTGCGCCCCCTCTGTGCAGCACCTGCCTGACCCCAAAATGCCCCCAGGGCCTCCCTGCAGGGGTGACACTCAGAGGATCCCGGTGACCTCCATGCTGCGAGGGCACCCGGACACCCCCAGGGGACACCAGTCCTGTCACCCCCGGGCCAGCTCATCCCCCTCCCAGGGGACCCCTCTGTCGCGTGCCGAGGGCAAGGAGCAGGGGGTTTGGGGTGGCCTCGATGGTTTGGGGTGGCCGCGATGGTTTGGGGTACCCAGCGCCTCTGAGGCCGGGGGGGCTCTGGGGAGGCGCCCCCCCTGCCTGCACGGCCCCCTCGGACCCCCCAGGGCATCCCCAGCCCCTGGGAAAGGCTGGGAGCAGACACCCTCCAGTGCACTTTCTGCACAGAGGACATTCCTGTCCCCACCTCCGCCCCCCGCCCCAGGTCTCACCTCAAAAAACAAGAAAGAAACAGCGCGAGGGGTTTTTTTCTCTCTCCTTCTCCAGCCATAATTAAAAAGGACTCACCCTTCCGAGCCCTTTCTATCCAGGGAGGTCGAGAAGAAAGAGAGGGGAGGAAGGGGAAAAACCCTGAAAGAAAAGAGAGGAAGGGCTTGGGAAGGAGAAGAGAGAAGAAAAAAAAAAAAAAAAAGAAAAAGGGACAGGGGAAAAATTAAAGCGGAGATCACACAAAGGGAACTCCTCTACCTTTGAAGCTTTGGCTAAATTGAGGAGGGGGCGGCGGGGGCAGGGAGGGTCCGGACCCAGTCGGCTCCTTTCTCAAAGCCTTCTCCTTTCAAGAATGTCTCGAATTCCTGCAGGAACAAGGAGCCGAGGCTGTGGGGCCGAAGGAAACGGGAGGGGAAGAGAATCAAATCACCGTGGTTAATTCCGGCCGCCACACCTGGGCAGCGGCGCTTTGTTCGGCCTTAATTGCGGGCTGTTGCATTTCCCCGATCCTTTAAAGCCTCACTGAACTCAAACTGTTATCATTTTGTCCCCACTGCTCCCCCCAGCCCGGGCCGGCTTTGTAGGGGCTGGGGGAGCCCCGGTTCGGGGATTAGGTCCCCCCCAGGGTCCGGTGCCACCTCCCAGGGCATTGTCACAGGTGATTATGGGGAGGGGGACAGCGGTGAGGTGGGGAGGGGGCGGCCGGGGTGGTGGGTCCGGCAGGGAGGAGAGGGGGCATCGTGATGGTGACAGCGTGAGGGGGGTGGGATTTGGGGGTGAATGGG